CCCACCTCGGCCTCCCAGAAGAGCTAGGATTACAGGCGTGAGCCATCGCGCCCGGCCTTCCCTGGTGATTCTTAAGTACGCTCTTAAGTTTCAGAACCACAGACCATTGTAAAATAAAAATAAAACAAAAGTTCCTGACACTCCCTGGTTCCATGGCAATCATCTACCTTTCAGGATAAAGTCCAAAATTCCTATGAGATCTACAAAGACCTCTGAAAGCTAATCCAGACTAACTAGCCTCATTTCCCCTTGAAGCCTCTGTTTGGGCCATATTCAGTTACTTGGGGTTCCTGAATGTGCCTGTTCTCTCTCAACTCTAAGCTTTTATCCTTTGTGGGTACTCCAGGATTCACTGAATGAGTGAATGAATTGAAACTATCACTATGTGTAAGGTCCTGTGGCACTGGGGATACGAAGAAGGGCAGACAAAGTCCCTGACTCAAATAACTTATAATTGGGGGAGGAGGAAATACACAAGAAGCGAAGGGAAAGAGAAGCAACAATTGCTGGACACCTGCCATGTATCAGGCACTGAGTGGGGCTTTAGTAATGTAACTCATTTTCTCCTTACAGAAACCCTTCCAAGCAGGTATAGTATTTATTAGCTACTGAGTCTCAAAGGGATTAAGTAATTTGCCCAGTATCACACAGCTAGAAAGTAGTGCTGACAGCGCTCCTATATGCCAGGGAATGGATATGCTGGGTGCTATGCCAGGTACTGAGCAGAGAGAAAAGGAGATGCTACCCTTGCCCTTGAGGTTCTCCTACACCCAGGTCTTTCCATTGCCACCCCACACCTTCCCATCCTTGTAGGACTGCAGAACCTGTCAAAGAAATGTCATGTTCAACTTACCCTCATTAATATGTGGGGACCTCCAATGAGCAAATGGTTTTTTAATCATTGGCTTCTGGGTGATAGGTGTGTCCTTACAATATCCCCTCCAAAGTTATGCTAAATTACAAAATCACCTTCAAGCAAAGGAGGATTTTGCATAAAATGCATATTCAAGTGTGTGAGCAATATATAGTCCAATGGCAAACTGGAATTCTTTGACCTGGGCCAAAGAAATCTACTAAAATTATATATTAAGAGTCTTTTTCCAATTTCCAGGGGAAAAAAATGAAGAAATACAGATTTCCCCACATTAAGATTCTCCCTCTATCATTTTTATAGGTGTGGGAAAGGGGGTACCTGTGTACTGAAAAAAGATGCTCTAGAAAAAGAAAGTAGCTGGGTGCAATGGCCCCGTAGTCCCAGCTACTTGGGAGGCTAAGAGTGGAAAGGAGGAACACTTGAGCCCAGGAGTTCAAGTCCAGCTTGGGCAACATAGTGAGACTACTGTCTCTTAAAAAAGAAAAAAAAAAAAACTTAAGGAGAAGTATACACAGAAAAGAATAACAATGGCAGACATTAACTGAGTGATTATTATATGGGGACTCTGTGCTATACCCTTAGTCCTTATAAAGCCTCTCTTATAATTATCTCCATTATACAGATGAAGAAAGCGAGACAGGGAGCGGTTGGGCAACTTGGTCTCCCAGCTTGAGGTGGCAGAGCCAGTACAGAACTCAGGCCTTCTGACCCAGCCCAGTACTTAATTACTGTATTATGTCAGGCTACACAGAGACACTGTGGAAAGCCACAGAGAGAAAACATGAAAAAAAAAAAAAGTGTGTGGGGGAGAAATCCTAGAATAGTACCAGGAGCACCAATAAAGTTTTGACTTAAATTTTTTATTTCTGTCTCCTCCAGCAGAATGGAAGTTCCATGGAAGCAGAGATCTGTCTGTCTTGTTCTCAGTTTTGTTCCTAGCACCTATCACAGTTCCTTGGATCCTACTCTGTGAGTAAAGGAATGAATGAGGAGGGAGTTTGCAGTGGGCAGTTGTCACTGTGAGGAGTTAACTAGAAACTTGCGCAAGAAAGGCCTAATTCTCCCGGGAACCTAATTAAATATCAATAACGAATGTTAGATGTAGAGGGTAAAAATAGGGTGAACCAGGGAGAATGTACTCCCCAGGGTCAAGTGCCAAAGGACAAAACATCTTTTCTGAAAGGGGTAGGAGAATAAGAATCACAGAGTCTTGTTGAGAGCTTTAAATCCTCAACAAAAACCCTATACATATAACTAAATTTAAAATACAGATGACTAAACCGTGTGTACTTTATACCATCAAATTTCCTTCACATTCTAATGTAGTTTAGCTGACTACTTGAGCTGTCTCTGCAAATACTGCAGGAATACTGAATGCAGAATTCCTCAATACTGCAGCAAATCTGGAGGCAAAATGGTGATGATATTGTAGAAACTTTCCAATTTTATGTTTTGGGTCATGGAAAAGATGATAGAACCCAAGATTGTACCAGCAGTCAATGCCAAGAATCTAGTACAGGTTGAGCATCCCTAATCCAAAAATTCAAAATCCGAAATGTTAAAAAATCCAAAACTTTCTGATTGCTGACATGATAACCATGAGTGGAAAATTCCAAATTCCACACCTGACACCTTTGCTATCTTTCTCTCTCTCTCTTTTTTTTTTTTTTAAAGAGAATCTTGCTCTGTTACCCAGGCTGGAATCCTGGGCTCAAGCAATCCTCCCTCCTCAGTCTTCCAAGTAGCTAGGACTACAGGCCCACACCACCATGCCCAGCTAATTTTTTTTTTTTGGGGGGGGACAGGGTCTCACTCTATTGCCCAGGCTAGAGTACAATGCCTACTCACAGATGATCACAGCTCCCTGC